TGTTTTCGGCTGAAGGACTTTGTTTCCATGGCCAGCAATAATTAAAAAAAATGTAATGTGATTGAGATTCGCTCTGGACTTTTTGGAGAGAAAAGTGTCGTTTTTATTTTGACTTTCAATTATTTTGTGAAATCTAGTTAAAAGTGGAATAGGATAGTGCTATTGTGCCTTAATCGAAGATTAAAACGCGAAATTATACGAATCTCGAACTAAAATACCCGTATCGGCCCGTTTTAAGGAATCCCGAGTCAATCCAAACACGCCGCCTCAAATTGCCTATCCTCTTCGTGGCGGCCATATTTACAGAAACATAATTAAACTTCATGTTTAGGCTGATGGCTTTGCCAAAGCCTTAATAAATTAAAAAACGTTTTATTATATTTCTGTAAATATGGCCGCCACAAAGAGGATAGGCAATTTGAGGCGGCGTGCTTGGATTGATTCGGGATTCCTTAAAACGGGCCGATACGGGTATTTCAGTTCAAGATTCGTATAATTTCGCGTTTTAATCTTCGATTAAGGCACAATAGCACTATCCTATTCCACTTTAAACTAGATTCACAAAATAATTGAAAGTCAAAATAAAAACGACACTTTTCCCTCCAAAGGGTCCAGAGCGACTCCCCAAAGCCTTAATAAATTAAAAAAAAAATAATGTGATTGACAGCATCCGACGACAATGACATCCAGTTTGTTTTTAAGGACATAACCTCAAAATACTAATTATTATAATTTGTAAAATATGCAAGATAGACTGAAACGTTTGCTGAAAATCTTGAAAATAGCTACAATAAGTGGTACAGGAGGATTGTTTGTCTTTTATCATATCAGGACTACGTATAAGGCTTTGAGTAGTATTGTGAATCATAACGTTCTCGACTTGCAGAAGAAACACACTCCGGAATATATTTACATAGACGACCCCTCGTACAGTGTTGCTTTAAGAATCGAGCAGGATAGAGAAACCAAACAGTCGGGCTTTTTTCGTCTTTGGAAGAGTCTAAAACACTCGTTGGCGTGGAGGTTGTTGTGGTTGTGTCGACATGGAAATTACGAGCAACGAAATATCGCATTGGAAAAACTAGCGTCATTTAAAAATAATAAGCATTGGGATTGCCTGAAATTGGCTCAAGCAATGGACATGAAGACCGCCGTGCTTCTCGCAAGGACCAGAGGCGCTGACTTGCGGTATTTCTTGCCTCCTCCACTGCATGTAAGAAGAGCTGCTGCCCATCCAACATTAATGTCTTTCACATTCCGGGACATGATTAGCGCTGTGGACTCAATAAATCCCCACAGTTGCATTCAACATTTTCTTGCAAAACATTTTGCCAATGTCCAGGAACAAGCTATGGATGCAGAACATGTGCCAGCTAAACCAGACAGTATCAGTGAACGTGATCTTTGCATATTGTGTCTTGATGCACTGCATCATCATATCAGTCTTTATTATGGTAATACTTATCAGGAAGATGAATCTAGTGTTAGGTTAATTAAAATGGGTTTACTGCCAAAACTTGCAGAGTTAATGCTGAGAAACCAAAATGATAGTGATTTGGATTATGCTGTTCTTAGGATTCTCACTGTTTTAACAGTATACAAAATTTTGCTCAAAGATTTCTTCCAAAGTGGACTTATAAGAGAATTGTCAAGGCTATTGAGGTCAAATGATATTCGCCTAGCAAGTTCAGCTGCAGTATGCTTAGCCAATTTGTCAGGAGAGTTTAGTTATAAACCAGGACTATACTTGTTACACCCCTTGTACAGAACAAAAACTACGCATAAATGCGACACTCTCTTGGTTCATGGCCTTAGAGGGGGGGTATTTGTTACATGGAGGCAAAGGGACAAGAAATGTGCTGAACCTATTGGTATAATAGAGGTCACAATATCAGAAAATGATTGTGACCCCTGTGAAGATTCAACACCTTATTTGGATCCAGAATTGAAACAAGTAATTGAAGATTTGAAGGTGTTGGAAGAACAAACAATATTAGCAGACTATGAAGTAGTTCTACATGATATACCTTTAGAAGCAAAAAGGGACTTTACTAATATGGAATATGCAACAGATAGAAAGTTACAAGCATTAACAGAAGAAGCCCATGACAATTGTCACCACACTCATTGCTGGCCAAAAGAATGGCTACCACAAGACTGTGAAAATTTACGAATCTTAGGAGTAAACTATTGGAGCTGTCTGTCTGAATGGCTGGAGCGCTGTCCTCAGCAGTCAGCAGAAATAGCCAGTAAAGCCTTGGAGCTTGGACCCCAGTTGAAGGCTGCTGGTGTAGGAAGAAAAGACACACCAATTGTGTGGTTGGCTCATTCAATGGGTGGGTTAATAGTCAAACAAATACTTATAGAAGCGGCACAGTCTTCTGAAGAAGAGAATAAAAAAATATGTGATAATACAAAAGCGATTTTGTTCTTCAGTACTCCCCATACTGGCAGCTCTTTAGCTAAAATGCCTCGTCCTGCTGCAGCTATTCTCTGGCCTTCAAATGATGTCAGGCAATTAGAAGAGAATTCACCAGTATTATTAGAGTTGCAGCATAATTTTATAACATTTGCTGATTTGTATGACTGGGAAACAATTAGTTTTGCTGAAACTTTACCTACTTTGATCACAGCATTTAAAGTTCCAGTGCATTTTGTGGAAGCTAGTTCAGCCGATGTAGGCCGCGGCGTTTTTTATCGGCTGCCGCTTGACCACTTGGCTATTTGTAAGCCGGCGACACGACAGTCTATCATATACAGGACAGTATCGGACGTGATCAAAAGGGCCACAACCAAAGACATGGAGCTGAAACATGCATATACATTTTTACAATGGTTGATAAATATTGTGCTTTGGCTACTCAGTTATACAAATATAGAAACAATTGATGAAACTCATGCAACTGATGGACTTAAGTGGTTTGAAAGATTGTTGCTGGACACTTTTTCTGATTTTTAAAATTGTACTTTAAATAATAAGCAATTTACTCAATAAAATATAACCTGTTTTCTTTTTTTCTATAACATATAGGTATTTTATTTCCTTTACAAAAACATATAAATTGTTACCTTAAAAGTTTGCTAAAATTCGAAACTTGTACTATGGGATAACAAGAACTTTATTGGGTACATATTATAATTTAGGAGCTGGTAGTTTTAGATCGGCTGTAAATTTTTAATCCAACCAAATCAGGAAATTTTCAGTTGGCGTGAAAAAAAAAAGGTTGACTCGCCTTGTTGTAATTGCAATAATATTAATAAATAATAAAAATCATTTAGGCCATGTTACAAGCGAGAGTCTAAAATACATATCCAAAATAAATGAAATTCTAAATTAATCTTCTAGGCCATAGGAAAGGCGAGAATCTAAAATAGGTATCTAAAATAACAACTTGTTCACAAGACTACATTTCATTTAAGAGGTGTTGGCATTATCAGGGCACAGCTGAACCACGTTTTGGGAGAGAGTGCAAAATGCGTGCCTTATTCCAGCGTGACCATGGTCGAGTTTTTGAATTTGACTAGCCAGAAAAAAGTCGCTACTTAGTCGCTTCTAATCGCAAAAAACTAGATTTAACCGGTCCGCCGCGCCGTTCAAAAGTTATACTGGTGTTTTACTGTTCAAGCTGGAATAAGCTTATTCCAGCGGCACCATTTCTCAGTCTCGAGAACCACAACACCTAGCTTAGATCTAATTACGCTAAATAAAGTCGTGAGTTAGTCGGTTAATCCTGTATACTATTTACTTGGGACAATAACTTTAATGACACTGTAATTCGTAAGTCGTTGTATTAATTTAATTACTCGAACAAAATCAAGTTTTATTCAACATTTTCTTGTGTAATAACTAAATCAAATACCTGGCACATGCTCATAAAGAAGTTTGTTTCCGGCGGCTACACTACGTTACTTATGTATGTAGGTTCACATAAATAGTCAAAGATAGTAAGGGGTAGTGATAATTTTTGTGACATCAATATATTCGTTGATTGGTTTCCTACCTAATACTATTATTACTTTTATACTTTAAAATGAAAATCGTTTGTTTTATGGCTCACATGTAAAATTTTGTCTAAAGGTTTTGCTCGGAGCATCCGAATGTGGTTCGGACTATTATAACATAGTATTGTATTATTATCTGTGATTATAACAACATGCAGCGCCATCTATTCAATACCCGGAATATCTTTTCATGTAAATTTATACTGTGAAGCGACATCTCTGGAACGCTTCTGCTAACTCGTATACATAATGAAGTAGTTGTTTTCATGGTTCAACGTTGAGTAGATAGATGGCTGAGTTTCACGATTTTTTAAGGTTAAGTGAAATAAGTCGGTCGTGCGCGCGCTCTGCGATCGGACGTGTGTAGCTTACTTACTACAATAACGAATTACATAACTTTGCTTGTGTCTTGCGATTATAAAGAGATAGTTTAAAAATAACAGAAATGGCTAACTGTAGAAAATGTAAGCAGTATGTGTCAACAAAAAAAGAGGATGTGATAAAGTGCAGTGGGCCTTGCGATGCTATGTTCCATAAAAAATGTGTGGTGAATTATAATCCATCCCAAGGGAACTGGAATTGCGAAACATGTTTGAAGAATACTAGCAGCGCAGCCAGCACCAGCTCAGAGGTACCCAAAATTAACTTAGATTTAAAGAAGGCTACGGTCGAAACAATCCTATCTGAAATTAACCAAAAACTGGAAATAATGTACCTTACACAAAAAAAAAGTTAGAGGAATTGACTGATACTGTTGATTTCTACGCTGAACAGTATCAGATGATGCTGCAATTCAAAGATAGTGCAGAGAAAAAAATCACAGCTTTGGAAAATAAAAACATCTATCTACAAAAATACAGCGAGTCACTAGAAGAAAGAATATCGCAATTAGAGCAAAAAGATGTAGAAAAAAGTATAGAAATTGCGTGTGTGGAAGAAATTGAGAATGAAAACACGATTAGTATTGTGAAAAATATTGCAAAAAAGTTAAATTTAAATGAAAATAATATAGAAGAAGTAAAGCGGGTAGGACGCGAAAAGAAAAAAGAAGGACGGCCCCGGCCGATTGTTGTCGCATTGCGCACAAAGGCAGCGAGAGACGAGTGGATAAGGCAGCGTAAAGTACTGTTAACAAACAGCGATGCACTAAACAACAATAGCACCAAGCGTATTTTTATCAATGAAAGTCTTACTCGGCAACTGCGACAACTATTTTGGAATGCTAAAAACATGCTTAAGGATAAGTATAAATTCATTTGGATACAGAACCTTAAAGTGTTGGTTAAGAAGGACGAAAATTCAAGGATTCGTAATATTCATTCTGATACGGACATAAACAATCTATGCTCCGGTAGCAACGAAAAAAACAAATAAAGACGCACGCTTCTACTGTGCGCGTTTACACGGCGTGATTTCTATTATGTATTTTAATGGATAGTGACCCATTAGAAATTATTGATGACAACATAGACTTAAAGAAATTTACTGATATGGGGGAGTGGAGTACGTACCTCAAGGCCAAAACAAATGAGCTAAAAGTAATGCACTTAAATATTAGATCATTGAGAAAAAATTACGGTGAGTTATTAGTTTTATTGCATCAAAGTAACTACAGCCTGGATTTAATTTTATTGAGTGAAATAAATATTAAGGAAGAAGAATTAGCCTTATATTGTATTAAAGGTTATAATATGTATGCAAAGACACGAAAAAAACGTAGAGGAGGTGGTTTGTTGGTGTACTCCAAAGATTATCTACGCTTAGAAACTACCGTCGTAGAAAGTCATGCTGTTGAAATTCTTCATAGCCAGTTGAAGACTTCGAACTCAGTCATTCATATTATAACAGTGTATAGACCTCCAAACACAATGAAATTGTGTTTTATAAATAAATTAGTTGATCTTTTGAAATCCATCCCGAAGAAACAGGATGTGATAATTGCTGGAGATACGAACATAAATATTTTAGAAAACTGCGCTATTGTTGAAAAATACAAAAATGAGTTGTGTGAATGGGGATTGCAGAACGTTATCAATGAGTGCACGCGCGAGGAGATATTGGCCGGGCGGCCTGTGTCGTCGTGCATCGACCATGTGTGGGTGCGCACGCGCAGCGACCGCCGGCTTTCTGCGCATATGTTGTTGTGCAAACTATCGGATCATTACTTAGTAGGTGTGTCATTAACGCAAGAGGTAAACAAAGCATATTCGTTAAACACTAGTAAGTTAGGAAATAGTTATAATAATAAACTAATAGTTAAGGAGTTGGATAACATTATTTGGACAGAAATGATGAAGTTAAATTGTCCACTTATGATTTATGAAAATTTGTGTTGCGTCTTTGGGAATATTTATGAAAAAGCAAGAATAATTGTAAAAGATAGACTAAGGAGACCGGTGAAACCTTGGATAAATAAAAAATATTAAAAGAATGATTGAGAGAAGGGATGAGTTGTTTAGAATATGGAAGAATAGCCCAAAAAATATGACATTTAGATTAGAATATACGCGGTGTAGGAACAAGACAAATAAAGAAATAAATAAGGCAAAAAATAAATTTAGACAAAGTGAGTTAAAAAATTGTGAAGGGGACTTTAGAAAAATTTGGGGTATAATTAACAGTTGGTTAGGAAAAGAATCAATGAATCTAGATGAAGTTGTAATGAAATATTTGGGAAAAAATAATAGTTTGGATGACGTATGTACAAACTTTGCTATGACGTTTACAGATGAGATAAATAAAATAAAACATAAATGTAATAAAACCTTCTTAAAACGCGAAACATATGTGAAACCGAGTAATGTTACTTTCTATTTAAGTAAAATAACACCTGGGGAGGTAAAGTATACAATAGATAAATTAAGTAACACAAAATCTCCAGGATTAGATGGGATAAGATCACGGGATCTAAAACAAGTAAATCATAATATAAGTCCGATCTTGGCAAAGTTTATAAATATGTGCATTGAGCAAGGAACGTATCCAGATAGGCTAAAAAAGGCTATAATACGTCCAATTTATAAGCAGGGGGACCATCTTAATTACTCTAACTACAGACCCATTGCTATTTTGTCAACCATAAATAAAATAGTTGAGAAACTAATTATTAAAAAAATTAGTGAATTTTTAGATAAAAATAACATTATTTATGAAGCTCAGCACGGTTTTAGAAAGTCTCGTAGTACGTGTACGGCTTTAAGTAAATTTAGCGATGATGTAAATGAGAGTTTGAACGATAAAAAATATGTGGTTCTCCTGTTTATAGATTTTAAAAAAGCTTTCGACACGCTGGATCACGGACTCCTACTCACCGCTATGCATGAGTGTGGGGTTCGTGGTCCAGTTAATACGTGGTTGAAAAGCTATTTACAAAATAGAACATTGTGTACAATGATAAATAAAACCATAGGAAGAGAAGCTAACGTAACATCCGGTGTGCCTACTGGTTCAGTGTTTGGCCCTGTTGGATACATCATGCATGTAAATAGTATGGTAAATGTAATAAAACATTGTACAGTTTACATGTATGCGGATGACACATGCTTGTTGTATGCTGACAAAACCATGGCGAATATAGAGCATGCAATTCAAGAAGATTTTAATAATGTAATTAAATGGTCGCACGACAACGGAATAATTTTAAATCTAGAGAAAACAAAATGTATGCTTCTACAATCTCCATATCTAAAAAAAGGTATTGATATTAAAATATTGGGCCATTCCTATGAATGTATGCATACAGATAGTACTGGTTGTAATAACTGTCAAGTCATTGAATTTGTAAGTAGCTATAGATATCTAGGATTAACCATAGACTGTAAATTTGGCTGGAAACTGCATATTGTAACAGTTTGCAATAAGTTAAGATCCATGTTATACAAGTTCATTAACCTTAGTAATGTGCTGGAAAGGACGACGTTGCGTATGATGTACTGTGCATTGGCAGATGCTGTGCTCAGTTATGGTTTGGTTGCATATGGGCGTACGTTTCGCTCGTA